ACTGAAGCCGTTTGGCTCTTATACGACGTTTAGGTTGTCGCAGTCCACGAAAACTCCTCCCTCGTTTCAGATGAAAACGGGCTGAGCTTTCGTCCATCGTATGATGGACATCATCAGAGCTGGAACTAATTCTTGTAAAATTCTCAAGTTAAAACTAGGGCAAGAACGTGAGACTTTCACTTGAATGAGACCCAGCTCTGATGATGTCCATCATATAATAGACGAAAGCTCAGCACGTTTTCACCCGAAACTAGGAAGGTCTAGAAGACTGCGCCAACCGGAACGTCGTATAAAAGCCAAACGGCTGCAGTACAACGGGATTCATCCATCCTCTTCTGATGAGATAGACCTACGAATCTCTTCATGCACTTTCATACAAAATGAAAGACCCCCAACAATTTTATCTCAGGAAATTCATCTAGACCCAGTTTATCTTTGTATCTATGATAAATAAACGTCTAAAAAAGAAATCTACTTTTCCGCGCTATAATACTGTACTGAATTGAAGGTTAACTAAAATAAATGGAATATTAAGGGTAGGAAAGAAATTTTATTTCAATAAAGGATGCTTCTTCGCGGCCTTCACGATTGGGAATTTTGACCATTGATGCTAAATTATAATAGCCCAAAATGAAATATAATAATGTGATAAATACAAAACTGTGAAAGTGTGTAAGAGTTTAGCACCCTAAGAGTAAATATCAATGAAAGACACTTTAAAAAATGCAAAAAACTGTATGATAAAGATGCGAGGCAAGTAATGATCCATCATGAGCACGAAATAAATTAGAAGTGAAAAATGCAATAAGTGATCGTAGTTTGAAAAACATATTCTGGATTATGCGGAATCCATAAGAAAGTTAAGACAAATTTGAAGAAAATAAAAATTGATGAGTCAAAGCTGCATCGCCTTTATGATGCAAGTACGAATAAATGTACAGTTGGATAAAAAAATTTCATTTTTTATAAATCACAAAATAGTATTTTCACTATCCGAAGAAAAGGGAGAAAAAGAAAAAAGTCAAATGGATTGACAAATACCTTAGTTAAATGATAAAATAAATTGTGCAACAGCAACAGATTTGTAAAGGGATTGCTATAAAAGTAACCAGACGTAGGCGGCACGATAAATAATAAGAAAACAAGAAAAAGTATGAATATAAAGCCCGATTGAGGAAAGAAAGGAAGTTTGGTTGGGTGGGGGTTTAATATATAAAAGCGCATAAGCTAAGTGAGAGGATTCATGATAACACAGGTTATGCTATACCTTAAATTGTAACGTTCAGAAAAAAGATCATCAAGAAACAAAACCCTCCTCCTTCATGGCAAAGGCACAAGCGTCTCGCTGGAGTCTCTTGCATTCGGCTCTTGGTAAAGGTAATTGGTTAATTAAGTTGCAGAGTAGCTGGGCCCAACAAGTGAAGACAGGTTTGCCGTTGTTCTCCAATTCACTAATAATGCCTCCATCATCTTCAAAAGCAGCAACATTATTTTTTAAGGTAGAGCATGAAAATGAAGAAGAGCTAGTAGAGTTTCCAATACCATTAGGTCGAAGAGAAACAAGCGAAGTCTGCCGTGAAATAGGACAGCATGGGGTTAGCATGTATGGCAGTAAAGGACATGGATTAGAAGTGCCCGAAGCGGAGAGTTCAGTCGAGGCTATGTTACTGTTGGTTTGGGACTGTATATGGGCTGGCATTCGCGTGCATGGTCGTACTTTTCTATGTACGAGAGGTGGCATTAAGCAATCAGATGGATTGCTATCCAACTCATTTGGGGGAGTCCTGTTGACAAGCAAGCCTGTAATTTGAGTATTAAACCTGGTTGGAGTCAAAGAAAAGAAAGATTGAGTCGATGGAGAAAGGCAGGAAGATGGAGAAGAGACGGAACAAGTTCGCTCAGAAGCCGAAAAAGATGCTGTGGGATAATTGGAATCACATGTGTTTCGTTCATGGGAACTAAAATTAGCAGAAATCTTGGAAAGCAGAGAGGTCGTAATCTCAGTATTAGGAGAACAATTCATGTTAGTAGTATCAATAGTGCAAGTGGAGATCAGTGAAGAACTGCCATTAGCGGAAAAAGGGGGACATATGGACTGTGCACTGTCAGGAGGAGGAATGGAGGTATCTGTAAGGTTAGTCGAATCAAGTGTTGATGAATTCAAATCAGGCAAGTTGGGCCCGATCTCAAGAGGGCAGCAGGGAGACGTCTGCGACCGCCGCCAATAAGCAGGATTTGTGGAATTTGCAGTGGATGAAGTAGAGGTAGCGTTGCTAACGTAGAAAAGTTGACTATGAAGAACAATATGGCTAAGTATCGTACATGAGCAAAGGCGCTTCAGATTTGGGACTGGAGACTGCACGTCAAGTTTTGCGAATTTACGCATTGGTTTCAAAAGAAGAATAAAAAGATAGGCTCGCTAAGAAAAAAGAATATGGCAAATGCTTAGCGTGAATATGTTACAGTGAAGGAGATATATAGTGGAATAGATTAACGCTCACCTTCTATAAATACCATCATTCTTTTGGATGCTATTTCTCCTGCTCGTCAGAGTGAAGCAATACGAGCAAGCTTTTTATTTTAAAAATGTCTTATAATAATCATTTAGCAGACTGAGACATGAAGATAAGACACTAAATAAATGGACGCTGCTAGAACAGTCGTCTGGCCAAACCATAACGGAGGATTCCGTAACAAACATAATGAAAAGTCTACTGGAGAATTATGACTCTACCTTTCACTCAGAATCATATAAAAATATCAGCAATAATCTAACCATAAGTTAAAATACTTTGGAAATTGCCGTAAGCGGTGCGAATTAAAGTCTAAAAGACCAGTGAAATTCAATACCATTTTGAGGCCTACTTATGGCAATGTGGAAAAATTAAACTATCAGCTATTCAACACCTTACGTGATCTATGGTGTATGCGATTATTGTTCAAGAACCAAAGGAGTAATAAAAACCTACTCAGCCTATATAAGAGAATAATTTTTCAGGATTCATTGGTGTTTTTAAATACAAGGAAGATAATTGATTGAATGCGCTGTCAAAAATAAATATACCTGCAGGGTTGGTATCAAGCGGATCGATTTTGTTTGGCCATACATATCAAAAACAGCACGCATCTTAGGATATCCAAATGGCCATTCTCCTCGAAAATAAGGAGAGTAGGAGCGAGGAAGAGATGAAATATAGGTTGGAGATGTGCCAGCATGTGGAATTCCGAGAACTACGCTGCTATCATAATTAATCGGGTGATGATCCACAGGCGAGCCTCTAGCCTCACTTGAAAAGGGCGCTGTGTTGTTGAAGATGACATTTGATTCCAAAGAGGAACTTTGGCAAGAAACTTCATGAGAATGCCTTTGAGGGGTCCAAGGGAAGGTGGAGGAGAGATTGGCGACACCATTGGAAGAATCTGTTACATAAGGCGAGGCCAGTTGTTCTGAAGGGATGGATATTAGCTCCTGAGAATAAAAGTTGAAAGGCAATAGAGCTGAGTAAATAACTTCGTCAATCGTATTATTAACGGTAAACCAGCTCTAAATTTGTGGCTAATGAAGTGGGAGAAATATGATCAAGCTCCGAAAAAGACTGTAGTAGCAAGAATCCATA